GTCCACGGCCGATAGACCCCTGCTAATTCAATATTAACCTTATTATGGTTACACAGGCCTGGTTCGTGGCGCCATTCTGTAGTGTCTCTGCCTGGTCTCTGTTCCGTTTCGGTTCGGCTGGGCTTGTCAGCTGCTGGACTCTTCTTGTCTGCTCACCGTCTGCTGCTGTCTTTGGGGCTGATCTGGGGCTGCTTCAGCTGGTTCGGCTGTCGGTGGCTTGCTCCTTTCGGCTGATGTTGTCTGCTGGCTCCTGGGTCGATGAAAACTAAAACTCTAGTCTAACATTTGAATGACGAAGAGGCGATTTCCTCAGCTTTGGACATGTTTATTTACGAGAGACATGAAAAGGATCCACACAGCTCGAATGTTACTGAAGCTCTGCCCCTCTGAGAAGCGTGCGCGTGCCTGGGCTCGTTCACGCCTTAAAGGGCCATACACACCTGAAAATTCACAATACATGCACACAGTTTTTTTTAACATTAATTGACAAAAGATTATCTTGAAGCCAACCATGAAATGTCTGAAGATCTGCTTGTAACTGACTATTAATAGATTCAATATTGAAATCAGACAAAAAAGAACAGTATCATCATCAAACATTAAAATATTTGAATACTTCAATATTTTTGGAAGGTCATTTATGTATAATAGGAAAAGCAATGGGCCCAGTATGCTACCTTGTGGAACTCCCATGGAACAGGGCAGAGACCCGGACACAGAGCTTCCATGTTTCACAACCTGACACCTATCAGTCAAATAWGMRGAAAACATTTGTATTGCAGATGATGAAAGTTGAAAAGAAATCAACTTTTTAAAGAGAGTGTAAAATGATCAACTGTGTCAATGGTGGGCCTGATGGATAGAGCTTCATCAGAGTAAACAACAACACAAATCTGAAGCTCCTATGTTTAATAGTTTTTGAGTTAGAAACAATTTTGTATGTCCTGACACCCCCTTTTTCAGATGGCGCCCCCTCCTCAGACATGGGGTCTATTGTAAAACAGTTGGCTGTGGGTCGGACTCATCTACACTCCTGACAGTACAAAAGCAATATGAGCCCCGCTTCAAATAGTTTCTATTTGTTCCAACAGTTTAACGTCTCAAAGGAGAAATCAGACGAGTTAATAGATGTGCTGTGAAATACTGTCAGATATTTAAGGCTTGCAGATTTTATTTGTAAAATAAAGAACAGTTCTGAGTGTTTTTAACACAGCGAGGGTCTAACGGTCTCTAAACGTGGCAGAAATGGTGACGGAGTTTGTGAAGTCAAAGTGTTGTTTTCAGATTTACAGTGGTTTGCCAAAGTATTCATACCCCTTGAACTTTTCCATATTTTGTCACATTACAACCACAAACATAAATATATTTCACTGGAATTTAATGTGAAAGACCAACAC